CCCTCGTGAGAACCCATCCCACGCCGGTCATGTGACTCGCGCCGGATGCCAAATCCACTCATTGTGGCGGACTGTCGGTTTTCTGTGTCGCCACTCTCCCACCTTAGTGTCCCGTTTTGTGTTATTTTAAAGGTTTTAGTATAAACATAGGATAAAATGTAGATTTATGGACAAAAGCTTGAAAATACTTAAAGGCTGGAAAATATGCCGCACTTTAAAGGAAGATCTTAAACAAATTGTAACCCAACAAGGACAGCATGTATAATAGATTTTCAATAAATGAAAGTCCTTTTGATATCAAGAACGACGTATGGCTTTACATTGAACTAACAATAAAATTTAAATTTATTGGTCTAATTTATAGCCACTTTTAACGTCTACAGAACTTGAGGGTTACAAAACTTTTCTTTATAAACAATTAGTACTTCTAATATTTCTTTTAAGTAATAAGTTTGCTTTAGGTTCTTTATTACCATTTCTAAGATTTCGTACATGCGTTAATGCCGGTTTGCGAGTGATTCTCAGTATTTGGCAAACGAACCATTTAGCTATCCATTCATAGAGGTAGTTTTTTCGCAAGTGAAAATTAATCCTATGAATATAAAAATGCGATAAATGAATTACTAATACGCTAGATAGAGGAAGGCCATAATAAGTACAATATATAGACTAGTATTCACATAGGAGAAGATACGATGTCCAGAAATATTATCTCGTTTATCATCCCCCAAAGCAGGCGAAGAAGAAAGTAAGGCGCTGTCTTGGACCACATTATAATTGTGCTGACGTTTTGGAAATGTACTATTTTCAATCATCAGAGTGGTGATTCGGGTGCTCCTGCTTGCCGGTTGTCGACAAGCAGGAGCACACGAATCATTACTCTGATGACTGAAAATTGTACATTTCCAAAACGTCAGCACAATTATAATGTGGTCCAAGACAGCGCCTTACTTTCTTCTTCGCCTGCTTTGGGGGATGATGAACGGGATTGACTACTATATAGAGAAATTCACCAAGCAAGCCCAATCAACTACCAGCAGAGGACATAAAATTCGTTAGCAGAAGTGGTATTTATTTCTGCAACGGTGTATGAGCAGTGATAGCTTCAAAATCCAAAGAGATACCAGTGGTAAGACTAGGTCGCAGGAATTAAAAATGATCAAAAATGGTGCGGGTTCTAAGTAAGGAGAACACTTCGTCCTCACGTGGCAAACCACGCCTTGTTATTTCTCAGGCCTAGATTAGACCTTAAAAACAAATTAACTTCAATGTAAGAGGCACGTTAGTTACCCTTGTTGGGCTTTGCTCTCTGGCCGACGCAGTCAACTAGCTGTGGCCACCGCCGCCGCTGTCAATACATGCCTGTGAAGCTACAGACGAGCCCTGGGTGACATTTTGGCCAGACGGCGCGGCCATCCCCGTAAAGCAGTAGAAGCATGAAACCGGCAGGCCCTCCAGTCCTTTACTGCTCAATGGAGATAAGTTATACGCGTAAAATAAACTTGACACCTATGGAGCAGAGACTAGTGTATTGTCCTCTGTCTATACAAAAAGGAGGTTGCTATTTCTAACCGACTACATGCATTCTTTCGTAAGTCTAGAGAACCATTTTGGTCCAATGTTTTGAAAGCCTTTCCCTAGGAGGAGATTCATTTTGGATCCAGAGAGCGAAGTAATAGTCTTTTATCGTTATCTATTATTTTTATATGTGAGACTTACCTAAAAGTGCTGGACAAAAAGCACTAGTTGGAAACCAAAAACTTCTGATCCATCGAATTAGGTCATACACATGTTCTTCTTTTTCAAATTTGCAAACATTCATAGTTTGCCGCTCAGTATTCGTTAGTATAGTTGCTTTCATATCTTGACAATAGACTAATATTTACTTTTCCTTTTTAATAGATTAGTTCAGTTTGCGAGTCAAAAACCTGTCGCAGTAAGAACAATACCGCAGTCATCACATGCTTCTCTGTGGAGTGCGCTTTCCTAAACGGCAATCGGCCGATTCGGTTTTGTGAGACATGCCATTTCATCAGACACAGTTCACAATTAACGGCTTCCGACGGCAACGGTACCGGCGTGTCAGAGTCAGCCAGAAACGAGCACGTCTTTCAGGTGAGTGTGAGCATAAGGGAAGAATTCAAAATTAACAGAATCAACTACGATTCCACTCTCTT